ATAAGGTATTAACCTAAAACACTGCAGAAAGATTTTTGCTATTGCAAAATGAAGATGGTAGTAGTGTATCACCAGTGTTTGTTGTTGAGGACTACACTCAGGTATGTTCTAGAATTTAAAAAAAAAAAAAAGGAAAATCCAAACCGTTATAAAAGATCCTTGAGTGTGTTGCTTGGCCTGTGTGGATTAGCAGTGGCAGTTCCTCCACCTGATAATAGCTGACTGGTGCAAACAGGAGGAGGAGGCAGATGTGTTGGTGGTGACTGGTCTTGGCAAAACCAAAGTAATGCTTAATATTTTGTAAGTGGGACTTTCCAAACTTATTTCTAGATCCTGCTTGCGTCTATCTCAGAGGGAAATGTTCTGCTCTAACAATAAATGGACATACTAGTCCAGCCGACAAATTCTAAACATGATGATATCCTTCAAAATAGCTGTGACATGGGATTTTGCATCACAGAAGCTTGAGGTGGAGAGCTCTGTTTGATCACCGACTCCGTGCTGTCCTTGGGAAAAGCTTGAGGGTCTCTCAGTGGAGGGTCTATCCCACAAGACATTTACAGGAAATCGGTGGTTGCACCTGAAGCTAGTTGATAAGAAGACTGAATGGTGAAATGCTGTAATTTGTCTAAGTGAAGGAATGCTATGATGGTGTGCTATTCCCCCCTGGTTAAGGTTTTGGAGGAAAACTGTGACATATTTTTTACTGCTTCTGGTTCCCTGTAATAGAACAGATCCCTGTCTACTGTAATGCTGTCATTACAGACTGGACCAGCATGAGGTTTACAGTGAAATCTGGAGGTTAGGTTGTTTAGACAATCTCCCCAAATTGGAAGAAATCAGAAGTCGTGCCCACGTATGTAGATCAGCAAATTTCACAGCAGAACCTTCTTTCTGAAAAAGCAGCATCTCTTGCGCATTGCTTTCAAGCTTAGTGGTTAGCTTGTAAAACCTGTGTTTTCAGGGCTGACTTTATAAGGAACGACATGTTTACTTCTTAGAATGGTATTTGAAATTATTTTTTATGTTTCTAGAATTGCTTAATCCTACAGGTCCTATGGTGATAGGAGGTCAAAGCACGAATTTCTAGTTACAGTAGATATATATTAGTTTTTTAAGTCCAGACAGAATAACCAGTCTGGTGAGTGTGTGCAAGTGCCTCTGCTTGGGGTTGTACTGGTTATTTAATTAAAGGGCAGAAATTTGCATATGCACAGTGCCGTGAGCATACCAAGTTAGCTATTGTAATTCTGCTATTCTTTTCTGAGTTTACTAGATTGTAGCTAAGGATTCAAATTCGGCACCTTCCAGATGGGATCCGACACACTACTTTCTCAGAGCAGGAGAGGAAATATGAAAGAATGGGGCACTCAGTAACTGAAAAGACAAATGCCGGTGCCTGATTTTGAGTACCTGAATGGCCGAATGCATGAGGGACTCTGTGTGCTTTAAGTTAGAAACATTAACCAATTCTACACTGAGGTAAGGTCCCGTACTTTACCCATGGCAGAGTTTTCCCATCTGTCAGTGGAAATGTCAATATCAAGGGCGTTTTCTAGCGCCTAGCAGGAGTCTTTTTTTAGTGAATTGAATTAATGGATGATATTATTACAGCTGCAAGTGGAATTTAGATGTTCATAAAAGTACTTTGCACAGTACTTTGGCGTCCATGAAAAACTAGCTAGAGCCCTATGGCCTGACATTTCCACTTGGAAAGGAGCCCTGTTCTTCTTTGGTGTTTTTAATACAAAGACAAGAAAAATCTTTATACTTGTGCGCCTCATGAAGAAAATCCCTTATCAGAAAAGTATTTCCTGCATGTTCTGCTCAGATTGAAGCAGCCTATTTTCCCAAATATTTCGTGTTCAAAAGTAGACCATTTGTTGAAGTTCAGAGTAGCCCATTTGGCTGGCAGTCAAGTGATCCACTAAAATATATTATGAATCAAAATTATACATGCTTCTTCTAAAAGGTTGGTGGTTCAAAGCCACACTTCAAACCAAGGTCATTAGCATCTTTGAAGAGTAAACTTCTCGAGTCTCTAGAGAAAAATAATTAAACACTTTGTTCACTTTTAATGCAGCTGTGCGTGGGGAGAGCTAGTTCTGTTTGTTAGACCTCTGATTTACATGACAAGTAAGAAAATGCTCTGAAAGCAGCCATTTATTAAACAGAAATGAAACTTTTGGCTTTTGAAATGTGCCTAGTGCTGTTATTATTTTGGCATAAAATTGATAATTCTCCAAACTTTTTATTTCAAGCAAAGTTTCAATTCCATCTTCTAAAGGCCTGCAATGTACTGTATCTCTAAGGAGCATAATCAATATGCTTATGCTTCCAATCTGATCTGTTCACAGCTTCTTAATCATAGAGAAAACTAGCCTGACTGTCTGTATCCATGGTTCTTTTTTTTTTTTTTAATTTTTAAGTCAAATTTATCGTTACCTTTTCAGGAGCACAGATTAGTTGAAGCAGCAGTTGAAGGTAGTCCATGGAAAACTTAATGGTGATACATGTGGGTCTTGCTATACATAGTGAGAATCAGCTCTTGAGTTACCTTCAGGAAGCTAAAAGAGCAGTAGATACTATTGAAGTATCAAATTTATGTGCAAAGAACTGAAAGAGTTGTCCAAGTTGTGATGTGATTCGGAGCAGCAGTGATTCACTTTGTGTAAGCATATGCGAACGTCTGATCTAAAAACACCCCTGTCAGACCTCAGTAGGTTGGTGTCATTGCTGATGCTGGTGAACAACATAAAAAAACCCCTTGACCATTTTAAACCCCATGGAGTGAAGGTCCTCTTGAGTATTTTTCAGTGAGAACTTTTTCCATAAGGAAAGTTTGTTTCAGTGGGGAATATACTGAATTTGACCATACTTTGCTGAGGGATGGGGAGGGAATTAAACTGAAGAATTTTGATTGTGTAGAAATAGTTTTAAATAGTGCATTTTTAAGCAAAATTTTCAACCTGTTTGAAATCACCTTTGCTTTTTGAAATGCATTTTATTTTATGCAGAAAAGTAATAAAAATAGATTTGAAAGTAAAACTGGAAGAAAACATTCTGCTTGCCAGTCTCAAGAATTTAATTAAGGTCAACTGAAAAGTACTAACTTACAGAAAAAAATATAATTAAGTGTTCTATTCTAATTCAGAGTAGAAAATAAAATTTGAGATTCTAGAATTTATACAACAATTCTGGCATCTACATAGGATAAACACAAGGGAGATGGTTTCTAAAAATTAAAGGACAAAACTAATGGAAGATGAGTTCTTAGTTACAAACTTTTCCGATGCTTTCAAAGATAAAGGAGAACATAATCAACCCCTTTGGCTTGACCTATAAATTAGTGAAATCTGTGGAGCAATCTCCACGGACCTTCATGTGTTCTGGCTCAAGTCCTTCAAATATTTAGAAGCAATTTTTAATTGAAGTGTGAAGAAGTAAATAATCTCCGCCATACTTTCTTGATCAGGATGCCTGCTTTGACTGGAAGGATAAAGGCAAACTTGAATTTAGAGCATCTAGAAGCTGGGGGCTTATATATAATTCCAAAGTGCCCATCAGAGCATTAAGATCACTATAGAACTCTTCCTTTATTCTGTTCCCTTTTAGGATATCTCTAGTTTTTCTTTGGCAGTGATACCGGATGAAGTCTTTGCCCCCCTTTTTATTAACAGCCATCCATTTGAGGATTTGTTTTACAGCATGGCTCCAGTTGAATGACACAACAAAAGGGGACAGTGAACTTCAGGGTGAGGTTGGAAATGGGCAGGTAGCAGTGAGGGGAACTTTTAAGCTTTGTCACTAGAGAAAAGTTAGCACATAGAAATGGCCTTGATTTAAAAAAAAAAAAAAAAAAAAAAAAAAAGTGTTAAATACAACGTTTTGTGTCACTAAGAGTTGAAAGACTGAAGGATTGTTAGCGTAGTGCCATTAGATGTGGACAACAAGTGAACTGACCAGGCAGTCGGTACTGTTCATTGAGCATTACTGTGACAGCTACAGATCTGAATCGATTTGCAAATGGCTGTAAGTAAAATCTAGGGTCCTTTTGTGTTTTCCAGGGTGTGCAGACTTGCATCTTCTGGATATGTTGACACCTACCGAAAGAAAAAGGCAGGGATACATCCACGAGCTCATCGTCACAGAAGAGAATTACGTAAATGATCTGCAGTTGGTCACAGAGGTAAGACAGCACAGCAGCTTGAGGAGCAGATTTTAATCACTCATCTCCTTCAAGTAAACCAAGAATTTCACTCTGCAAATTAATTTTATATTGCTGCCATTTAACTTGCTAGGGATCATCTGTATTAAATTTTCATATCTATATAGATATAGATACATATGCATGTGTATATGGGTGTGGGTGCAACTCATGTCAAGCCCTTGTGTTGCCATCACCAAAACACTGATGTTTAAATTATCATTCTAGTAAACCCTTTTTGCTTCTGGTTTTGCATGTTTACTTCTCATGTATAAGTTCTTAAAGTTTGAAGCACATTTTCTGTGTGGAAAAGTGATTTTCTTTAAATGTTACAAGGTGCATCTCTTCTGTGGAAAAAAAGGGAATTAGCACAGGCAACTGGCTTGGACAATTCTTTTGACAGAGAAGGAAAGCCCTTTTTTGAAAAAGAGGTCAAGATATGCAAACCTGAGACACTGCGTGATGAATCAGAACTTCCATAAAAGAGTCCAAAGTAAAATGTATTTTCAGTTGTATTAGCAAAGTAATCCTGGGCTAGTTTGCAGGAGACTTGACTAAAATTCCCAAGTTTCAAACAGATTATCCAGGTCATAATTACAGCACCAAAACAAATTTAGATTATTCTTTTTTAAAGCCATATGCTGCTCACAAACTTATTATCGGGGAACACTGTGGATCTCTAGAGCACAGCATGTGTTTGAAGTCTGTTCCACTGCGTGTCGAGTGCTACTCTGATGTAAAGTTTTCTTACCTCTAGACTAAGGAAATGGGCATCATGAGTCTTAGTCACTTATTTGCCATATACTTTTTAAATTGCTTAATTTTCTGAATCTATAGATCTTCCAGAAACCACTAATGGAATCTGAGCTGCTAACAGAAAAAGAAGTTGCAATGATTTTTGTTAATTGGAAGGAGCTGATTATGTGCAATATAAAACTACTGAAGTAAGTTGTTTGTTTTTTTTTTTTTTCCCCGTACTCAGCAATAACAAAATCATGAGACTCTCTCCCCGCTTCTCCTTTTTGCTGTGTGAAAATATTTGCTACTTATGCAAGTAGTCACCAAAAGGGCCATGCATTTTTCCTTGTTGGAAAAAGCAAAATATGGACAATGCTTGCTGTGACTTGTTGTTGTTGTTGGAAACAATCCAGCAAAAGGTATTTGCACTTACTTTGCTCCGAATGTACCTGTGCTCCAGAAGGCAAGATAAACCTCTCCTGAAGAGTAGTGCCTGCCAAGGCTACCCAGAGTCCTGTGGTAGACTTCTACTTCCTCTGTCACAGCCCATACCCAGTTCCAGTCCTGTTATCTGTGGATGCAAAACAAGGCACAACCACCTCTGCCTCCCTTATTCTGAGTTAGCGGATGCATTCCTCTAGTTATTGTAGGCTTATAGCACCTGAAGGAGCTGTTTTGTGAGAAGCAACGCCAACAAAGCCTGGTTTCCTCTGGATTTGTGTCCACTGTACCCTGCACCCTTCCTTCCAAAGTCTCCAACTACTGCAACCCCAACTCTCTACTATGAAACTCCACGTGTGCGAGTACCCTTATTTCTCCCTTCGTTCTCTGTGGCATCTGTTCTTGTATCCTTCTCACCCGTCCCTGCTGCTTCAGCAAGACACAGTAAATGCTGTGGCTGGTTTGGAGACGCTTGCGTGCAGCTTGCTCATCCAGTCGTTGACAAAGAAACTGAGTGAGGATTGAGTTAAACCTGCATCTTCATAAGCAAGAGGATTAATAAAGTTCCTTTTTTTCCCTACTGAGCTGCTAATTTTTCTTGAACTTACAGGGATTTTTTAACTTCGAGATATCTCCTTTTTTGTAAAATGTGTTTGAAAATGGCCTACAAGTTGAAAAGTTATGGCAGTGATAGGACAAGTGCAGGCAGTTCAATGACAATAAACCTCCTTGCCTTCGGAAACCAGGCTGAAAACTAAAAGGAGCTTTGAGCTTAAAGTAGTGATAAGGTTTTTATCCCCCATTCACAAGCGTATCTGTTACCCTCTTTCTAAGCTAATAGAAAAGGAAATTACATTCCTTTTTATATTGTACCTGATCTGGCATTGCATTAAGTTAACGTCAAGTAACAGTTCCATTACCACAGGAGGGAAATATGTTGGCTGAGGGTGCAGTCTTGGTAACTGTGTTCTTACAATATGCAACAAATCTTGTGGCTGATCTGTTTTTTATTCAGGGATCTCTTTGTTTCAGTAATGAATAACCATTTCTTTCATAAATGAGGAATCCTTCTTCAGTGGTCTACTTATAAAACGCACATGACCTTTTCATGTTTAGGGCTTTGCGTGTGCGTAAGAAGATGTCTGGAGAGAAGATGCCGGTGAAAATGATCGGTGACATACTGACAGCTCAGCTGCCACACATGCAGCCTTACATTCGGTTCTGCAGCTGCCAGCTCAATGGGGCAGCGCTCATCCAGCAGAAGACAGATGAAGTCCCTGATTTCAAGGAGTTTGTTAAAGTAAGGGAAGCAGCAATCACCATGGGTTTTGTACACTGTAAATTTGCTCATTTGCAAAATACACTGTTTTCCCTGGTAACAAGTGACAGAACAAGGGGAAATGGCCTTAAGCTGCACCAGGGGAGGTTCAGGCTGGGTATTGGGAAGAATTTCTTTACTGAAAGGGTTGTCAGGCATGGGAACAGCCTGCCCAGGGAGGTGGTGGAGTCACCATCCCTGGAGGTGTTTAAGAGACGGGTAGATGTTGTACTTAGGGACGTGGTTTAGTGGTGTTGGTAGAGCTAGGACAAAGGTTGGACCCGATGATCTTGAAGGTCTCTTCCAACTGAAACTGTTCTGTGATTCTATGTTGGGCTAGATTGAGAGTCCTCAGACTTAAGCAGTCATTGAAGGTATACATTTTTGCATTAAAGGAATACGTTTTTTCAAACAACTATAGAACCATAAAATACTTTGTTTAATAATGGGTTTGCTGTAAAATGCTGGGACAGTAAGAGGCGGCCCTTCTCTCGTACAGGCAAGGCAGGTGAAGAATGTATTGTAAAAAATATAAGAAATCCTACTGCACTGACATGGTGATCTAAGAACAGATTTAGCTGAGGCATGGTGTTCATTTGTTGCCTTACCTTTTCCTTTCTTGGAGGAGCTCATTTTGCAGGGTTTTAAACAAACTGACTAACACAGTTTTGCCTCTCTAATGTTTCAGAGGTTAGCAATGGATCCTCGCTGTAAAGGAATGCCACTATCAAGTTTTCTACTAAAGCCTATGCAACGGGTAACAAGATACCCACTAATAATTAAAAATGTACGTTCTTTTGCAAAGATGATGGTTTTGATGCTGCTTTGCTTATAGCTTGATTACAGGGTAGTTTCCCTATTTGTGTAAAGCTTTGTGAGTGTTCAATATCTGATGTGCTAGGGAACATGGGGTATCCTTTTATATTTGATCACACTAGAGAAAATGTGGTAACTCATTTGGCTTCAGCGAAATGACTTGGTATTTCCATTGGAAGCAGCGGTGAAACTTGCACACAAAGAACCAGAAAGCAGTAAATATTGAATGAAAACTTTAAATTCAGATAACAGGAGTAACAAGTCAATCTTATGCTCATCTTTCCTTTTTCCACAGTGTCATTCCCTCCCCGTAGTCTGGTAGTCTGCACATTTGGTGTGCAAGTCTGAATGCCAAATTGTTGCCTTACTGCACAGCTTACGTTGCTGGATAACTTACAGCCCTTTCCTAACTTTTGTTTGTTGCCTAACGCTTACCATCCTGAATAATGCTATTGAACTTGGCCCAAGACTTTCACAGGAAAGAATTATGAGTTGGATGTTGGCATTTAAGAGATTCCTTAAACAGGCATGGATATATTTCTATATACGGCTGGAATTTGCATACTTACGTCAGAAGAGTGAGCACTGTACTGATGCAAAGGCTCTGCAGGCAGGCATTCATTTCAGCTGTTCACAAACAGACTGTGAGTTTGTCTCCTATTTTTCATGTTTGTCGAGGAGGAAAAGAAATTTGGAGCATAGCTGGCTGGCTCTAATGAAAATAAAGAAATAAAACAGAAGTATAGGGCTGACACTACGAATACATTTTATTAACTGAAGATAACAGAAAAGGCTAATGTATTTTATTTATCTGTAGATAATAGAAAACACTCCTGAAAACCACCCTGACCACAGTCACTTGAAGCATGCTCTTGAGAAAGCAGAAGAATTATGTTCTCAAGTAAATGAAGGCGTGCGGGAGAAGGAAAACTCAGATAGGCTGGAGTGGATCCAGGCTCACGTTCAGTGCGAAGGCCTGTCGGAGGTAAACAAAGTGCTGTCTAGAGTAACGCAAATGTGGGCGCACTTCTACACCGGTCGGGAAAAAACCATGGCTCACTTATGGCACTGCATCAGGGGACAAACAGTGTAATTAATCAAGTTGTATACACTTTGATCCTTTCTTTTCGTCTTTCTTTGGCTCCCTTTCACTCCTGCACGTGATCCTTTTTGCTGCTCGTGTTATTGCCTTCTATATGATCAATGCTGCTTTTGTTGCCTGGCTCTGGACTAGTACCAGGTTCAATGCTGCCATTTTCAACCACAGCTTTCTGGTTTTGTAGCTCTTGTATAATACAGTGGTTACTGTACTGCTGTATCTCATCCTGAAGCTATACCTGACCATCCTGGAGCGCTTTAAAACTCATCACAGAAAATAGTTTCTGTGATAAAGTGTCGTATACCTTTTGAAAACTCAAGAATACTGATCAAGTCTCTCTCAAGACTTTACAGAGAGAATCACTGCCTCCAATTACTTATTTTTTAAGATAACATGCTAAGTTTCTCTACCGAAACTATGATGAAAATATTGTGTCAGTATGTCCTGCAGAAGAATGGAGGATATTTTGATTGCCTCCCTATTATTGGTGAAGATAATAGAGGCAGACAGATCACAACTTGATTTTCAAAGTGTGCATTGAATTTTCAATTCTAAAAGATAAAAATACAGTAAGCACTGGTTGGTTTGTGAACTCGAAAAAAGTGCATTTCATCTTATGAAGTCTAACTGTTTCCGGGGAAAGACATGTATGACAATGCCAGAAGGGTCAGAGACGCATTCAGCTGTCTTACAACTACAGCCTGAAGGAAGGTGGCTGCTTTGTCTTCCTTACCTGATGTCTGGCCCTAGAACACCAAAAATATTACCTGAAAGACCAACTGGCTGCTTGCTGACACAGTAAGTCCAGTAGCAGCAGCCTTGAATGTGTGGCAAGGAGCAATCCACCTTTCGCCCGCTTTTCTGTCTGGGATGTTTCTAATCTGTAAAAGGAGCCACTCTGGATCTAGCTGCCTGGACAACCACGATGGCAAGAACCACACCATGACCTAGTGAAAATAAACGTGAAAATGACACTTTAGGAAAGGGCAAGCCTCTACCTATGTGGTAACAACCTCCAGATAAGTCTTGAATTCTGCCAGTTCCAGCCAGTAGTCAGCAGCTGTCCTCCAGGTGTTGTGGGTACACAAAGACAGGCTGCCTGGAATTCCTTTGGTATGTTTTAATGGGCAAAATTCAAACCCAATTCAGAAATCCAGGCCTTGTTAAGAAAGCTCAGCGTTTGGAGAGGCCGTTTGCGTAGCTACTGCTAACCCAGGGCAGGTCATCATCAGCTGAGTTCCACTCACAGAGTTGCATGCGTGTGGGGAGAGAAACTCAAAACGAGGCACAAATGCTTTTGGCTTCTCTCTGGCTGTCCAGGCCGTGCCCCATGCAACTGATGGGCTGCCTTAAAGTTAATTTTCATATAGCCTCTCTATGACTTGCACTGCTTATCATGCGCAAGGCAGAGACATTGCTCGTCATCCCTGTGACACGAATTGAATCCAATGTCAGGACTCAAAACTATATTTGATCTCTTTCAGGGGAACCCCGATTGTTTTACTTTATACAGTGCGTTGTTGTTCTTCTTCTACTTTTCGCAGCAACTCGTATTTAATTCTGTTACAAACTGCTTGGGACCACGCAAGTTTCTGCACAGTGGGAAACTCTATAAAGCCAAGAGTAACAAGGAACTGTATGGCTTTCTGTTCAACGATTTCCTCCTCCTGACTCAGATCATAAAACCTCTTGGCTCTTCTGGCACAGACAAGGTCTTCAGCCCCAAGTCTAATCTGCAATACAAAATGTACAAAACTGTAAGTACCGCTTTTAAATGGCGACTAAAGTGGTTATACGCTAACAATGCGTGCAGCAGGCAGCAGCTCCCATACTGGGTGTGTGGGCAATAGCCTTTAGACAGAAGAGGTTTGAAAGCTTTGGCATATGCTGGGGATTCCAGGGACTGATGGTGAGAAAGCTGGCTGTTTGCTTTAACGAGATAAGAAAAGACACTTTTGAAGTTTTGCTAAAACATCCTCTTCAACAAGAGGTCCCATGTGTCAGGAAGTGATGGGGAGAGTAGTGTTTGCTGCTCTTTGTGGGAAAGGAGAGATTGCTATGCTTCATGAGGCTGCTTGCTTACTTCAGGAGAAGTGTTCCCAGACTCTGGTGGCACCTGTATCTTTGATAATACAAAAATTTTTTAAAATGACATATCTGAAGAAAGATGTGAGGCAGGCAGAAGGGGAAAGATACTGCAGGCACAAGATAAATCCTTTGTAAATTGCCACTTGTTGAATGTATCTGTTCAGATATTGTATGGTACAACTCTAGCTTTGCCTAATGTTTTACAGCCCATTTTTCTAAATGAGGTACTAGTAAAATTACCCACAGACCCTTCTGGAGATGAGCCCATCTTCCATATCTCCCACATTGATAGAGTCTATACACTGCGGGCTGAAAGCATTAATGAAAGGTAAGTACCTGCATAGACCATATTCATACTGAATTTGAAAGGTCTGGTGAAAATGTGTATGATGTACACATGCATACTAGTCTCCAAGCAGTTTATCTTGCACGACTAGAGAGTTCCTTCTGCTTGAGAATACGGTGGTACTCAATATATGAAAAGAAGGTAGAAATAATGGTGTTTCCTGAATTCTGGTAAGACCAACAGTGAAAAGGCTAGGAGGGCTGATATATAGGCCATATTTCATAACACTTTATGTTATCATAAGGAAGACAAAGTATGCAATCCTATCTTCTTCAGTTAACATCTGCTTGTTTGTGCCAGTGCAAGTGTTGGTGTGGCACTACGTTGAATGAGATTGAGGAACAGGTCAGAATTAGATCTTGAAGCAAAAACCTACCAAACTAGACCCAATTAGTTTTAATCTGGCTCAGTTCAGACTGAAACAGTAAAACGAACAGCAGCCTCAAAACCTCAGCTGGTGATTTTTATCTCTGGCAAGCTTACAGAGACAGGTTTATGCTGACTTATGCTGAAAAGGTTTTTTTACACAGATGTAAGGTCTTGAAAGATAACTTTTGTTAAAAAATGAAAGCTGAAAGTGCAGCAAACCCCTCCCCCATAGTATAGACATTGTGTTATGCCAACTTGCAAATGTATAGCCCCTAAAAATTCTGATGCATAAAAATGTATGAAACCCTGCCTACTTGTCAATGTTATTCATTATTATTTACACACATATTTTTTCTTGCAAAAATCATACTTTTATGGATCCCATTTGTCCTTTGGGATGCTCTCTGTCCCTCTATGTCACAGAATGAATGAGCATCGTTGTTAGGCCCTTGGTGATGAAAATTAAGACAGCCTTTTCAGCTTAGGATCTGTTGCACAAATCGGACTATAGCAGTAATCATCTGTTCTGCATCAGAGCACTCACAGCAGCAGTCAGAAACATCTGAACTCTGCGCTGCGTTCATCCTACCTAGCTTGAGGAACTTCAGCGACATGCTTAGGCATGCTACTCTGAACCATCAGTGGAAGGAGCGAGATCTTCACATACTGAACACTCTCTGGAGGTGCTTGCCTCTCTCCATTCACTATAGAGAGACCCACAGGAACTGCTATCTGAATTTGAGCACTCTAGTTAAATGCCTTTTGGGCATTTGACTTATAGGGAATACAGCCTTTGACTTTCTTTTGTGCCAGAATTGCTCACTAAGTGCATGCAGCGTTTTAGGTGGGATACCTCCAGGTTTTCATCATTCACTTGCTTTTAACCAAGAGCAACAGAAATAAAACATTAGCATTGATGAGTGATTAATTGGTCCATTTAATCTTAAAAGACTTTTATGATCAAAGGCTTGGTGTGCTTCTGAAGCTGCCATTTACCATTTAGGGCTGAGCTGGAAGGCAGAATTGTCCTTAAGTGTTTTGTTTTCTTGAACAGCTCTCTGTGCAGAATACAGGTGAGTGCTCAGACCCAAATCCAGGCCAGTGTAAGTAGCTGCAATGCCCTGTAGAGCAGAAGCTCTTCATTTTAGGATCAGAAATAGATCCACAACTTCTAGATTCTCATTTTGGCTTGACTCAGGTCTCAGGTGCTTTGTATGTCACAGCAATTCTAAACCCTTGAGTTCTTTTGATACCCCTCGTTCCATGCTTTTTCTCAGTCTTTCCACTCAGTTTCTTAAGTATGAAATGATTTCCCAGAAGGGCCCATAGGGAACCCTGATCATTCATCATCTGTGTACTCCCTGACTTAGGCTTTATGTGTCCCAAGGCTCAGAAGGATATTGGTATGAAACCTCAGGGGTCAAGAAAAGTGGGCACCTCTGCAGCACAGCTGTCTTGTATCTACTGGCTACAAGAAGTTAGTTTATTACAATAAAACGAAAGGCTTGGTGAAGGCAAGCTTGTTATCTATGCCTTTGGGTTTCTCACCAAGTCCCTTCTGCTTGTAATTCTCTTGAGCTATCTTTGTGGTGCGATCTGCTAGCTTGGAATGGTTAAATTTCTGCAGGTGCTATAAATTCCAGTAAGATCTCTTCCAGGCAGACAGCTTTAGTGTAGCAGAGCCTGTGATGGGGCCAGGGCCTTGGTTGGGAAGGAGGGACAGCTTTACTTTTGTCTGCTGTGCCCCAGGGAGGAAAAAGGGAAATGGTATTTTGCAACTTTTTTTTTCTTTCCTTCTGAAGGACCGCCTGGGTTCAGAAGATCAAAGCTGCTTCAGAACTTTACATAGAGACTGAAAAGAAGAAGAGGGAAAAGGCCTACTTAGGTACAGCATGGGATGCGGGCCTCTCATCTTTTGTGGAAAAGTCTATGGGCAGGAAAGTACGTTAATGACTTTTCTCTCTTCTTCTTTTCCACCACAGTTCGCTCACAAAGAGCGACAGGCATTGGGAGGTTGATGGTGAATATTGTTGAAGGCATCGAACTAAAACCTTGCAGGTCCCATGGTAAGTGCCTTGGGTCTTTCCTCATAGGCTCTATGAAGAAGACATTCCTATTTGACAGACTAACTTTGAAGGAAGTTCTGTCCAAAACATAGTTTTGTTTAATGAAGCGATTTTAATGAACCTAGAATATGTGGAAGTGATTTTGTGCAGTTCGGTAGTAGTCACGCAGTTGTTCCTCATTAAAGCGTTTGTTTCAGACATACTTAGTTTCCACCACGTAAGCCGTGTTGTAAGAGATCATAAGTCACAAAATCCTGAAATGAAGAGTGAAAGGTGCTCAGCGCCTTACAGAGCTGCGTCACTGTTCATTATAACGACAGTGAGGCCACAGTCTTTCCCCTGTCCATTAGCTGTAGGAATAAAAGGATATTTAGGAGGAAGATCACACACCTAAAAATGTGATTACTCTTTTCTGTTTGTTTCTATCTTCCCAGGAAAGAGTAACCCGTACTGCGAGGTGACGATGGGCTCTCAGTGCCACATTACCAAGACGATACAGGACACCCTCAACCCGAAGTGGAACTCCAACTGCCAGTTCTTTATCAAAGACCTCGAGCAGGACGTGCTCTGCATTACCGTGTTCGAGAGGGACCAGTTCTCCCCGGATGGTACGTAGGCGGCTGCCGCCCTTCCAGGGGTATTTTCAAACCTCCCGTTTTGAAGAGGTCCATGGCTGCTGAGGTAAATCATAGAATCAGAGGATGGTTTGCGTTGGAAGGGAACTTTAAAGATCGTCTAGTTCCAACCCCAATATTGAACCCCTTTGCATACTGGGAGCCTACTCACCCTTACTGCCCAGTGGAGTCATGCTAGTATCAGCGCAAAAAGAATCAAGCTCTCTCTGGTGTTTCGGGGGTTTCCTTTCTTGTGCAACTTGACAATGACTCAAGTGTGCTTTGCAATTCTGCTAAGCCTTTAGAAAAATCTGGATGCTGTTTGCAAATGGATAGGTTAATGCAGGAGGAAGAGAAAAGCCCTCAAGTTCCTGTAATATGCAATAACAGTGGCAGAAGTGAGCCCAGGCTTCCTGACCCATTCTTATTTCATAACCTGGGATAAACACAGGGAGCATTGAAGAGTGTATTTTGGAGTCGTCATCTCTCAGGAAGTGTTTGGATAGGATTGTCATTCATGTGGCCAGCGCCAGTTGGCCCGTTGACCTTGTCGCTAGTGTGATGCACTGCTTGGCTCTGTCATCTCCAGAGGGCTTCACACTTGGTTTGAACTGTGCAGCGGCCTTTGGCCTTTTTTCTAACTTATTACAAAATAAATAAGCTACTGAAGTAAAGCAGCTGTGAATTACATGGTGGATTTTTCTGCTTACAGGACCATTTACTTTTAATGCTGTTGCTGTCTAAGGTGGTCTAGCTAAAATCCTCTTTGGTGCAGATGGCAGCCATTGGCCGCCTTCAACTGCAAAAACATAGTTGGGCTGAAGACTTGTTTTCTCCTTTTGTTGTGTGTAGATGGAAGCTTAGTTCCTCCTGCAAATTAGCATTTTATTGCCACGTTAAACAGTTGTGTCGTTTCTGAGCATGCTGTCTTTTTGCATTTCAGACTTTTTGGGCAGAACAGAGATCCGTGTGGCAGACATTAAGAAGGATCAGGGTTCGAAGGGACCAGTTACAAAGTGTCTCCTTCTGCATGAAGTCCCAACAGGAGAGATAGTCGTCCGACTAGACCTGCAATTGTTCGATGAGCCTTAGGAGGAAAGGGACCAATGTTTTATTCCAGTCTGAATTCACTGCAATAGGTGTCTGCAGAAGCTGTCACAAAATCCTTACTGCTGTGGTATGAAACTACTGCTTGCCCTTCACACATAAGAGGGTTATCAAAGCAAACAGGAGCATCTTTGTGCCTTGATAATTCTCACTGAAAAATGAATCCCAATTTAGTGAGGAGATCTCCCTCGACTTCTCTATGTGGAACTTGACGTTAGTTTCTGAAATGGCCTAGCTGTTCGTTGTGCTCCAGTCTGAAAGGCTGGCAAACCACATAGGTTGCTGTGCGTGCTCCAGTTACCCTACTCTTTAATTTACACGACGAAGGCAATGTTGGTATGTTTTGGAGGCTTTCTGCAGGGTTTTCCCCCTTAAGGAATTCTGTGCCTATTGCTCAGCAACATGGTGTGTAAATGTAATGTGAATGGAAGGAGCAGTTACGCAGTAAGAAGATCTTTGAAGATCTTCATGATGGTACTGAAAAGACTTAGAAAATAAATAGTTTATATCTATAAACAGAGAAGATTCTATTAACATACCACTTCATGACTCACTTTGCCCCCGAAAATAAATTATGTACAGGCCTCCTGCACAGAGATGAATTGCACTCCAGAAGCGTCCACCCACTCGGCACCTTTGGAAGCTGCTGTTTCTGTAGCACTGTAAATGTTTGAACGGTGAGCGAAGGATTAAACACAGAGCCCTGCTCTACGTTGTGCTATACCACTTCGATACTCCTTTACCACTTCGGTACTCCTTTACTGCTGCTGCTTGGTTGTGTGACCGCAGGCGGATGATCTGTCACCTGCCGCAGGGAAGAAAGAAAAACAAAAAAATCACGGCTGTAGCTCAGGAAGCTGATTTCTACCCCGCAGAGTCTAGTTCGCGAAGCAATCAGTGGCGACCAGTTATTGAATGGTACCGCGCCTACCCGGGGTTGACATCGTGTTACTGAATTCGGGGCAGCAGCACGCTGCAGCTCACCCAGGGGTTTGCGGCGGGCCGGGGCGGTGGCGGGTTCGGTGGCAGCGACACTGGATGCGACCGGAACAGAGTGCTTGTGATGGTGCAGAGCGGGTAACCCCGAAGGAAAAGCCTTGTCATCTGGGGGAATGCCAGGGCTTGTATATCCATTTAACTCCATGAATACACACGTATGGGCCCACATCCAGCAAACTTTTCCCTGTTTGGCAAGGCACCCAGTTTTAAGCATGCACTTACGTCTTGTTTCCCTTAAGCACGTGCGTAAGTGCTTTGCTGAGTCTGGACTCGAGAGAGAATAGACCCCTAAGAGTGAAATTCCTCTTTGTTCTGCTTGGATTCGTTTTGTTCATGACCCATCATGCATACACTGGTATTTTTGTAAGGACTTTATTTCTGAATGGGAGGTGTCAGCCTGTTTCATTAGCATGTGAACGTTCTTGTGGAGCCTGTTGTTAGGTTTTGGTGTTCCTTGCATGTCCTTTCAATACTGGTTTCCACCTTTCCTGTATAGGCGGTGTTCTCTAGCACTACGAGTCTTATTGATTTCCATTAGGAAATTAGGATATATTCATAACGGATAGGTAGATACAGTATGGTAATAAGTGTAAACTGTGCTGGGAAGTGTCTGTGTATTATAATTTCCTAAAAGACCACTGTATGTTTCAAGCAACGGGAAAAAAAAAAAAATGTATGTTGGAGGGACAACAAAGTTTACATTTCATACTTTTCAGAATCGCTTTATTATTTATTTATTGAAGATAGTGTAGAATTTTGTATCAGAAATGACAGACATACTTATGTATTTTTTGAAACAGAACAGAGATACACACTTTAGTTAGAAACTTTCAACTGACCACATTTTAGAGGGAGTGTAACTTCCTAGGCATGCATTTGTTTACCACTAACTGGCTGAAAACACAATTAAGAGAACTTTAAGTTTCTATTTTTCAATGTTGTTAAGAAAATTGTTTCGATTAAAATATGTAAATAGTACTAAACCCATGCTTTCCTAATTCCATATCAATACATTTTATTAAATATAATGTATATGAAAATACACATTGTTGTGGTAGGATAAAAAAAGTGATAAAATCTATTAATGGAGTAACATTAAATGTCATTGTCTAACCCTTTATTGCTGTCCTAATTTTACTCAGTAGCTATAAATACGGTGAACACTCATTTCAGTGTTTAAAAAGTAGCATCACTTTTTTATGGTATCATTTCACCAGCATGAATTACAGTAACAACTAAATAGACAAACAGGACAAAAAAAAGCGTGGTGGAATGCAGAAATCCTGGTCAGGTTTTCGAAGGGAGCCTCGAGGAGCTTCACCTTCCTCTGAGACTCAGCTGGTGTTGGAAGCGGGGGACCCTTAGCTGCAGGGGCTCCTCTCAGATTGTGACCCTTCTCATGGGCAGGTACGATCGCCCCATTTTGGGGAACTGTAACAGAACCGAGCACCTTCCCGACCACCATCACTTGTGATTTCCCACTTACCCTCGATGCACAGGGCTGTTTAACTCCCATTAACGTCAATAGGAGTTAGGGATGATGATGAAAGGCTGCGGTTCGGCTCACAGATATTTAATGAATCCCTCATAGTTGGTCTAATCCTAAAGAGGAAGCTTGTCCTAATCCCCGTGCATCGAGGACAGAATGTATATATACCCCTTGAGCCAGCCGGCGGCTCATGGGGATGTCACTATGTCCTCGCTTGCTCGCCCTCAGTGCTCTGCGGCGTATTGGCAGCGCTGGCTTCCCAAACAGAACTGCTTTTCACCAGGGTTAGCCAAAGGTTCTTACAAGCCCATTGACTCCGGCCGAGTTTTCCCTGTTGGGGAACGCTGCAGTCCTGCTCGTTGCTTTGCATTGACTCTGCGGCTGCGTGGGCTCCAGGTTTCTGCTTTTCCACCCACCATAGCTGCGTAGACCTCTTGCTCATTCAGGACTTCGTGCTGCAAAAGCTCAGGCCTTTTACGGAAGAAAGAGACTCATTAGCTGTATTTCCGCTAGTGCTTTCACAGAGAAAACTGCAAGCTCTCATAGGCTTGTTTAAATACCCTCTGTGTTCTAAAGAGTTTGGGGAAGGGAGAGGCACACAGCAATACCTAGGAAGTTAGGTATCTCTTCGTGTATTGAGACTCAGCTGGCGTTACCAGAATGTATGAAGGTCGAGCCATCCTCTCACGAGAGCCGCGTGCTGGCTGTCGGGCCAAACTCTGCTAGTCTCTGCTACTGGTATTGAATACCTGTATTTATGTGGACCTTATTTTTCAGACACTGGTTATCAATCTCTGAATATCTTTGCAAAACAGCCCATCTTAGCTCACAGGTCCCTTTCCAGCCTCATCAAGATGCGAGTAAGCTTTTCCTAATGTTATGCAAAACAACGATTTTTTATTATAACAAAATCGAGGCCCAGATAATGCTTGACCACATTTTGGATTGAAAGAGCAGATTCGTGCATGCAGACAATCATCACCACTAAAACGCAGAGGTTGTAAACCTGTGTGTTGTGGAGGTCTGGGACTGGCTGTCTGCGTTTTTGCTTTGGTGAAATTATCCTGCAGAGAGGCTGAGTACAAGACCTCTCTGTTACTCATCCTTGAAATGAGGCGCTGGTGAGATTGAACATGAGCCACAGGGACTGGCCCTCTGGATGAGGTTTCATTTCTACCTTTTAGCAGGCTCTACTTTTTTGGAGAAGAGGTGTCTCTTAGAAATAATTCTTCAGCATCAAACTCCTCGGCTGGCAATCAAGCCTTTCTAAGAATAATACTGTGACTTTTCAAGGCATTCACTGCCTTCATTGAAACAGTGGTCTTGCTTTGGACACACTGGGAGAGAAAACCCCAAAAGAAGAAAGAGCAAAATCTGCAGCTGTGAGAAAACATGCAATGGAAAAAGTTGCACTGGTAGTTTGGTTTCCGAGCTGTAATTCTGGGAACTGCATTTTCCCCTTAGGTACATTAATTTTAGCAAAGAGAATAGTGTTTCTACCTAGTGCTTCCTTGGTTTTGAGTCTTGTAGAACCGAGTTAAGGGGTCAGAAACTGGAAGGGAACACCACCACTTTTAGAAATTATTAAAATGACTTTTGAAAGGTGCTGGTAGCTGGGAATGGGCAGAATGTCAGACAGGACAGGATACCAAAGAAAAAGGAAAGGAACTTTTTTTTTTTTTCTTTTTTTTCTTTTTTTCTTTTTTTTGTGGGAGTGGTTAGTTTAAATTCAGATCCACAGCCTCACAGCAGAACTTCAATTATCCAGGACGCCAAGCATCCATAATATAACAACAGCTGATTAATAACAAATTGTGTGTTTGTCCTCAGCCTGGAAGAGCCACATGGATTTAGTGCAGCTCCATGTTTATGCAGGAGTTCGCATGCGCTTTTTTATAGAAGTGGAACTTTTTGGTGTTTGTAATAGCCCTTATACTCCTTTTTCCAGGAATTACCTTCTGAGATGTACCTCCAAGGTGCTTAGGCAAGGACTTTGTAGTCTTGTAATCGTTGCTGTCAGGCTCTTTGCTTTCCTGGTGCCATCCAGGCAGCTCTCATGACCATCCAGGAGGTACACGGGTACGTGCCCTTTCCATACAGGGAATTGGCTGCACCAGCATCAATGTGCCACTTGTCTGTCTCAAAGGACTTGCTCCCCCAGCCTATAGTCGTGTGAGGTATTTGCCAGCAGTGCCATCATGCATCGGCAGGGCGGATGCCTGTCCTTTCACCCGTATCCCTCCCAATTTAGGGCCTCTCCATCGTTGCTCTGATTGCAGTAAGAGTCAGCCTGGTCTTGTCGATCTGCCTTGAGAGCGTTTTCTCCCTGTGGACAGGAGTCAGCCCTTCAGAGATGCCTCTCAGGGAAACCACCTGAGCTCATTTTCCTCTGCGCTGCGTCAGATGTAGCTGGAAGCGACTTAAGTCCGGGGCGGGTTCAGCTCTCCCCCTTTCAGGGGTCCAGCCTGCCACATCCATGCTGTCCTTCCCCGCAGTGCCAGGCTGTGAGCTCCTGCTGCCCATGCTGCGAGCCCGTAGCCTCCACTTCACTGCCAGTAGGGTTGAGGCTTGTGTTTGAGATCACCCAGGTCCCCTCCTGGCCATGATGTTCTTCACCTTCTGAGCCTGTTGGCTCCCTCCAAGCCAAACACCAGCTGCGTTGCACGAACGAACACAGTGGGTGACTGGAAAACACATCTCGCCTCATCTCACTGCCTTGCTCTGTTGCAGTCCCACTACTTTTTTCTTCTCTGTGAATCTTGCGAGTAAACTGGTGCTTCTCTCCTGTAATTTATCAAGTCCTTTGGAAAGCATCACTCTTTCTTTCCCTTTAACACCAACTCCCAAAGCTCAGCTGCGTGAAACAGCGCTGGTTTAGAGACTCCTTTCCAGGCTTCTCCCTCACAGCTCATCTGGCAGCTGCCATCTCTGCCACAGCCCTGCAGCCCCTGGCTCAACCCAGCGCTTCAGCAGATGCTTAACTTTAATTTGTGCCTCAACTCAGTGCAAAGGCATATGTAAAGCCA